AGTTACCAACCTTCACCTCGCCGATATTGGGCAGCTCACGTCTGTTCCCACCTGAAATTTTATGCTTATATTTGAATGTTTCGCTATATGTTTTGCATGTTCTGATAGCGAATTTCGTGCTCTATAACACTGCTATAGAAATCTATTCTCCAGAGGTGTTTGCTTTCTGTTAAGTGTCAAGTTATCAGTTAGTGGAACGCGAAGTCGTTGAGAACTAGCGTTCCCGTTCTCCACGAATTTTGTGCTAACATTTGAATATTTCGCTAATGTGTTCTATATGTTCTGATAGCCAATTTTCGTGCTCTATAACATTGCCTTGCAGTGTTTTAAAATCCGATTGATGAACCCGGTTTTCAGGTGGAATAAGATGAATAGTTCAGGCGGTCGGTAAGTCCGGCGCTCACCACGTTCAGACATCTCCTCTTTTCGCGCATTCAAGCAAGAGGGGTACAGTACTGTTCTGAAAAGCGTCTGCAACGCAATTTTGGCTGTTTTGAGAGAGAGGGCATCTTCTCCGTACACTTTGCGAATCTCCCCGAGCAGCATCAGCAGCTCTGATACCTCTGTTGAATGCGAAAATGAGGAGATGTCTGAAGTGCTGATGCTTATCGACCTGACATTCCATATTATCCACCTGAAAAACAAGGTTCATCAAAGGATTTTCAAAACAACTGCAACGCAATGTTATAGAGCACGAAATTGGCTATCAGAAAATATAGAACACATTAGCGAAATATTCAAATGTTAGCATAAAATTCGTGGAGAACGGGAACCCTAGTTCTCAACGACTTCGCGTTCCGTAATGATAACTTGAACTTAACAGAAAGCAAACACCTCTGGAGAATAGATTTCTATAGCAGTGTTATAGAGCACGAAATTCGCTATCAGAACATGCAAAACATATAGCGAAACATTCAATATAAGCATAAAATTTCAGGTGGAACAGACGTGAGCTGCCCAATATCGGCGAGGTGAAGGTTGGTAACTTCAAAATTCTTGAAATTCGTTCCAAAGCGTCCTAGTGAGATTCCCTTGCTGGAACTTCTAGCTCGACCTTTTCCAAATGTATGGAGCAGCACCTCTGCCTGCAAGCGATTTTAGCACTTCGACTATACGTAAATAGAGGCAGTTGTCGAAGGTGCTAATTTTCGCCGACTTCGCTTTCAACTTCAACGACTAAAAAATCCACAAAAATTATTCCCTCAACCGAAGCCGTTTTGATATTCTAAAACTACGTGAAGTTTCCTATCAGATGATATCAAGCTTGCTAGCAAAACATTTCATCTTTGGAACGAAATTTCCGGTTGAAAAAAAACGAAAGTACTTATGTGCCAACCCAATATGTTTACATAATGCAGCCGTACCCAGCGTAGCGGCTATTGGCAAGATGTCTACGGAAAACTTGTGCGAAATTGCTTATCGAGTCACTAAAAACGAAGGCATTTCTTCATAGGTTTGACCGCTTCACCTCGTTTTTTCGCCATTTACTATATGGCGCCCTGCTAGCATTTCAAGCCAGTTACCAAAATATCGTGCCAACTGCCTTTAAGACGCTGCGATCATCTGCGCTCTGCTAAGGCTGAGCCTGACTTGGAGGAAGTCACTCTTTATCCCACGCTCACCTTAGAAAAGCGCTAAATGGCGCTGGCGTCGAAAAATAAATGTCATCTTCGCGATCAGGCATCAAACAACCCCATTGTGCAGGTTTTTATCGACTTTGAGGAAAAAGCCGTGCCGCCAAATGGCGTCAGGGCTGAAAACTAATTCGGTATTCGTGATCAGGACATCAAATAACCCTACTATGCAAATTTACACCGAATTTGGTGGGAAAGGTGGCGGCGCCAAACTGGCGCCAATTGGCGCCAATTTGGCGCCAGCGCCGGCGTGATGTATTTCATACCTCCCTCAGCGTGCGTGCCTATGAAAAAGTATGAAGTGATAGAGTCCCAACTTCACGCAGTGCGTAGAAATCCCTAATTTCACTATGAAATATCGAATAATCGGCTTCGAAGCTCAAGACGGAAAATCTAATGAATCAGAGTGAATGTCTAAAAAGGAATAACCTAAATAGATAAAGATCTTTCGCTACTTCTTTTGGCATACGAGGCACGCGTTCCGTTTTTATTCGCAGTCGTAACACTGTAGCTGAAAACGAAAACCCGGAACAAAGCGAGGAGTAGTACTTCAGTCCCTTCGAGTGATTTATTCTCCACCAGTTCCACAATCACAATATTCAGTAATTTGATGTAATAACATAATGGTAGTGATAACTTAGTAAGGAAAAATCTAGTGGAAAGTACCACGTAGCCCTCTAGAGGTCACACCCACTGGCTCATATTTGGACCAACCAAACTTTCTTTTCGTGGTCGGCTAATCGGTGCCAGACTTGCCTGGTGAAATGAGAACACTGATCAGAAGCCTCCGCCATACATTACCTAAGCCAGTAACATAAAAAGTACTACTGCGAATTTTATCATAAGTGGAGACTGAATGCCCTTCACAGAAGGCGAGATCTTCATCCTTTGAGCTTTCAGATATACTGAAGTTTTGAACCTCCACGCTGTTTTGCCATCATAGTGCTCAGAAATGATCTCAGAGATGGGTAGAGCGTCGCTCCAGGCTTCATGTCCCTATTTATGTTACGGAATTTGTAGTATAGTCGCGGAATACTTTTTCGTAATCACACTGTAATCCAGAAGCGAACTACATAAGGGACTTCACCTGCATGTACCTACAGGCGTTTACGTTTTGCACGGGCTCTCTCCATTTTGGCAAACTGTAACCCTAGTGCTGGACAAGTCCATGAACTGAATTTCCCCAAGACTGGTTTTCCCAAGAATTTTCTCCTATTTCTGTTACGGAATTTGTCGAAAAGTCACGGAATATTTTTTCGTCACCACCCCGTGATCCAGAAGCGATCTACATAGGGACGGCACCCGCATGAACCTACATTGCGCCACAAACCACTTGGAAATCGGCTCCACCATCTGAAATTCACAGCATGTTTTATCGCTATATTCTTCACCATTACCGACAGGGGTATATGACAAGGTAATGCGCCTTGCGCGCCCTAGAGGCGAAATATCCTGTGTAATCGTCTAGACATGAATATCCAAAAGATGGGAAAGCTCGCCATTTGTCTATAAAGTTCCCTTCGCCATTGAATCCTTAAAATGCCTTTTTCCCGCTATTCAGTCGACAAAATGTACATCAACGATTCGCCGCGCATGGCCGCACGATACTCGCGCGCGACGACGACGCAAAAAAAGTGCGATTGTCTTGTCCGCCTCCCAACCGACGGCGCAACCGATATGCCAGTCAGTATCATTGTCCTCCCAGATGAGCTCAATATAATCTTCCTGCTTGTGAGGTATGGGAAGCTTGGTTGGCCCTGATGGTGATGCCGGATGATGGGGTTATTTCTGCCACGATTTCTTTCGCGTCGAGCTGGGTCTTCAGAGGAGCCCAGCCCTGTCATCTTCTTGCGTTCGGAACCAAGGACCAAAGATTCGCGGTAGGACTTCTATCTTCTGGAAACGACAACTTTCTACCACTGTAAGAAGGAGAGTTGAGGTTTTAGGGTACAGCATCGTGATGTGTGAAATGGTGGTGTCAGTACGCCCTCACCTTCCCCAACCTTCCAGTTTCCCATGTTTTCCAGATTTTTCCAGTTTTTCCACTCAAAAATTTCCCGCAGAGCGGGTGGGGGGAGGACCTATATAGCCATTGTTAAATGAGGATTTTCCTAGATCATCCCTAACTTCCTACCACTTTTTCTGGAATTTACCAAATATTTTCCTTCTTCCCAAAAATTTTGCTATCGAGCGGTAGGGGAGGGGTGGGTATATAGTGCGCATGAAAAAGGAAATAAAAGAGGGAAAATTACGAAAAGTCAACAATTTTTTTCCAACTCGGCAAATTTTTCTCAAAAACTCATAAGACCCTGCTCCCCAAAGGAAAAGTACGACCCCCTATGTGTTACTCACAGGGATGCTGCATCCTGTCTGGATCTG